CTGCTAGACTGAGTTGGAATGACTTCACCCCTGTGATGGATCAGAACCTGAAGAATCTGAGTAGTAGCAGAGCACATAGGGATCTAAAGCCTGGCCTAGGGACTGGAAGAAATCATCCCTAGAGTCACAATGTCAACCTGTTGGTCCCCAGTTCCTGAAAAAGCAGCAATATCCAACTGAGATAACTCTCAGTTATCTGCTCTTGGCTCTCTTCCCCCTTCCCCCACCTCCAACCATGCATAAATCCCAAGATTGCCCATCTGCTTTAGAAGATATGGCAGCTCCACTTAAATATAAGCTCTTTGATCTTGAAGGAATTTTGCTTGGTAAAAAAGAGTATTTATATAGAGCTTTAAGCAGTACAGTGCTGGAAAATGTTTAACAACTACCTCTCTGAAAAAAATTCATGCATGACATACTTTTAAGTTTAATCTGCATTATTAATATTTTCTCCATCACCTTATTAAGTCTGGACGACCAACAAAATAATAAATCAAGCCCTGATTTGTAGCATTTGCCAATTTCTGAGGTGTAAATGCTCACACTGAAAATTTATCAATCAGCTCTCAAAGAGCCAGTATGAGCTGGCTCCAGCACACTCCTGGCTTTAAGCTTCCATAAAAGTCCTACTTTCATTCCTCATTGTGGCGGTCATGCTCTCAAAGGCTATTCCAGCTAAGCATAAGCTCTGGCAAGTTCTACGATGATGGAAAGCCCTCAAGTATGGCTCTAGGAATAGACCATCTGTTTTTTGTGGACCAGCCTAACTAATCCCAGAAAGGCACATCACCAATAGGCTGGCCAGCTAGTGATACATCTGCTTTGGCCATGGCTACTTATGAATCAGAAAAATGAAAAATGTCCCTCCAGCCCTTTTGCTTACGCAGTAATTTGTCAGAGTGGTGAGAAAGAGGGCAGAGGGTATTAAGAATTATAGAGTTTTTAGATCATCAACAAATTTTAATTTGACTGTGGGTACTCTAAAGGTGAGATTTTTGTCCAATGAACAATGAATGGACATATTGCTGGAGGAGCTGAATCATATTGGTCTTGACATTTTCTTATAAATTAAGCCAAAATAAAGAAAGAATTTGCTGCTAAATGGAAGGGATGGCTCACATCTTTGGAGAGATAAAGAGAGAAATTGGCAGTATGCATTTTATCTTACGCCCTAAAGCTACAAAAAACATTATTTCAAGGAATATTTGGCCATCATGCATTGTAGTACTAATGAGAAACATTTGCAAAAAGCTCAACACAAAAATCATTACAGATTTCACACCAACACATCGGTTGCTGATGAAGAAGTGGTGGAGAAAATTTATTAACAATTTGTTAAGAATCTCCAAGTCAAATCAACATACATCCTGATGCTGGCTTATTTCAATATAAAGATGGAAAAGGGTGAGAATGGGGGAAAATAATTGGGAACATATGATCCAGAAGAAAGAAATGAGAGAAACCAAAGATTTCAGATGTTTCATACCTCTCTATATTGAACAATTTCTTTTTAAGAATTTGTTCTATTATTTTAAAAAGAATGAGTAGGCACTGGACACAGTGAGCATCAAATAATATCATAAAGAATGTAAATGACTACATTTTAATATACAGGATAAAACTTATTTTGGACAAGAGAGTCATGTGTCTGTGCAGTCAGATTATCAACTTGTCAGAGCTAAGATCAGAATTTATAACAAACAAGAAGAAAGAAGAATAATGAAAAAAAGATATGATGCCAGTGGTATATTTTGGCTGTCCACCTATCCGTCTCCCTTTTATTGACCCATGTTCTCTGTCTTCATGCAATTCCTATTCTTTTTTGGAGTATCTCACTGGTTATATGACCACAAAGGATTGGAATGAGAAATCTCATTGACTTGAGAGATACCTCCAATGATACAGCTTACAACCCCTCCATGGCTACCCATTCTCTGCGTGACTCTCATCCATGATTTACAAAAAATTCCATATGGGGTCCCTCCAACATCCTGGAAGTTTTCCTTAATCTCTTACAACATTAAGAAGAAAGGAAGAAGGGGAAGGAAAAAAGGAAGGAAGGAGGAAAGAAGGGAGAGAAGAAAGGAAAGAAGGGAAGAAGATTTATTAAGTGCCTACTATGTGCCTAGCACTGTGCTAAGCATTTTACAACTATCTCCTTCGATCCTCATGATTACCCTGGGAGATAGGTGCTATTATGATCCCCATTTTCTAGTTAAGGAAACTGAGGCAAACAAAAGTTAAGTGACTTGCCCAGGGTCACACAGCTAGTATGTGTCTGATGTCACATTTCAACTCAGGTCTGCTTCTGTTTAGGAATCAGGAGCCATAGCTTTAAAATTTGGTTCCATTATTTTCTAATTGTAAATACACTCAAGGTATATTTACTTGAGGTCTATTTAACCCAGGATAGAGTAGGGCAAGACTATGATGATTCTTTATTAACACATTTACTATAAGCCCCAACACTGTAAAAAGGCAGTTCAGTGTTCAGCCCAAGTGGAGCTGCCTTTAGAGTTCAAAAGATCTCTCTTCTTCAAGCGAAGTGGATGTAGAAAGAAAGAGATGCAAGATAGAAACTAATGGTAGAAACTGAAATGACAGCAAATAGGCTTGAAAGGGAGCAGCTTTCCCAGCATTGTTCTTGTTATCATCAGTGACAGTGGAAATCCGACTGTATCAAGAAAATATGTAATGAAGCTGGAATGGCTGTTATCAACAGACCCGGAACTAGGTATATCAGGACACCAAATAATGAAAACGACTCTTCTTGAGCATGTGCTAGCTCTCAACAAATACGGTAGGAAAATATCAAAGACATCCACATGAGATCATTAAGAGTTGATTTAGGGAGAGGGAAAGTCCCTACTCTGTGCAGAGCTGCCCTACTATGCCACAGAGAGGAAAAGGGAGGGGTAGGGTTGTGGAAATGGCGTGGATACTTCCTTTGTCTGCATAACTTCCCATATTTGCCCCAAACCCCAAGGGGGACATTCACTTCAGAATATTTCTCCCGCTATTGGGATGCCTGAAAATCCTAGTTTGGAGACACCTTCCTTCAGGTTAGTTCCTTCATTCTATGTTAAAATTCAAATACTCCTGGAACAAATAAGCTATTAAACTCTATTAGCTAAGGAATTGATCAGAATCTTTTCAAAGTGCCCTATTAAAATGGCTAAGGTGCTGTATCACAGAATCACACACACACACACACACACACACACACACAAGCAGGCGAGTTTCTGTAGATATGGGTAGGGGAAGGATGGCCTGGTTAGAGTGTTGCCGTGCAGGCCTTGAGAAGCCTCCCTGTTGAGAGGAGTGGGAGAAGGGAAAATGGGAGGGCTTTTTTCTTGCCAAGACCAACTCTTCTATGTATACGAGTGATCCTATTCTATCGTGCCTTCTCCAGCAGATTTCCTCCACTATCATGCATACTTTCTCACCTTAATACTCTCCATGTCTTCTGTCTGCTTTCTTACTGCCTACAAACAAACAGATCTCCCTCATCCTTAAAAAACCTTCACTTGACCCATCTATCACCACCAGCTATCATCCTATATTTTTCCTTCCTTTTGAAACTCCTTGAGAAGGCCATCGGTAATTGATGCCTTCATTTCCTTTCCTCCTACTCACTTAACTCTGGATTCAGCTTCCTATCTCATCATTCAGTGGAAACTGCTCTCTCCAAAGCCACCAGTGATCTCTTAATTGCCAAATCCAATGACCTTTTCTCAGTCCTCATCCTTCTTGACCTCTCTGCAGCCTTTGACACTATTGATCAGTCTCTTCTCCCCAGGTTTCCATGACACAGTTTTTTCCTGGTCCTCCTCCTTCCTGTCCGACCACTCTTTCTTAGTCTTCTTTGCTGGATCTTCTTCTAGGTTGTGCCTATTAACCATAGGTGTCCCCCAAGACTCTATACTGGACCTTCTTTTCTTCTTCCTCTATACTATTTCACTTGGTGGTCTCATTAGCTCTCATGGGTTTATTTATGATCTCCATGCAAATGATTCTCAGATCTATTTATCTAGCACTAACCTCCTTCTTGACCTCTGTTCTTGAATCTCCAACTACCTAGTGGACATCTTTAACTGGAGGTCAAAACTGAACACATTAATCCCACCCACAACAGTCCCCTCTCCCTAACTTCCCTATTATTTTGACGGTACCATCATCCTTCCAGTCACCCAAACCCACAACCTAGGAGTCAGCCTCAACTTCTCGCTATCTCACCCACCCATATCCAATCTCTTGCTAAGTCCTGTCCATTCTATCTATGTAACATCTCTCATATCTCTCCAACACTGATATCACTCTGATGCAGAGCTTACATAATTCCTATTATCAAAGTGTTAATAGATATACTTTTTCTTCTGGAGGCAGGGGAGTAAATTAAGTTTTTGGAGTCCACAGTTTACAGTTTCTTTTTCTGATGATTGATCCACAAAAGGCACCTTGAATACCTCTTTAAGTAGGTGTCAGGGTCAGTGGAGATAGTTGGCAGCTAAGTTATTGATTATTCTGGTTGTCCCTAACAGGTTCCTTTTAGAGGCCTGTTCCTTGAAGCAAAGGGTCTCCAGGCTAGAGTAGGGAACCATAGGGTCATAGAATGTTTTACTATCTAGTTACCAAACTGGATGGTACCTTTAGAACTCATCTAGTCCAATCCCCTCATTTTATAGATGAGGAAATTGAGGCCCAGAGAGGTTATGACTTGCCCAAGGTCACACAGCTAACCTCCCTCCTTTAACCCATTTTTTTCCCCTCATATCTTCTTGGGAGAGGAAAAGTTAGAAGGAGCAGGAAACAGCAAGCAGCCTGAAGGAAGTCCAGGGCTACAGCCTAGATAGAAGGCAAGAAAGGGGACTGCAATCTGGCCTCAGACCAAACACTTGAAACTTACTAGGTGTGTGACCCTGGGCAAGCGACTTAAACCCAATTGCCTAAAAAAAAAAAAAAAAAAGAAAGAAAGAAAGAAAAAAAAAAGAAAGGAGAACTACAGTTTCTCTTTTTATTCAAATGCATATTGGCTCCACAGACTTGTTTTTGGAGACTCTGTCTAATGTTTTCTAGGGCATCGGGGTTCTGTGCACAATCAATCAATCAACACGAATTTATTAAGCATCCTTTGTGTGCCAGGCACACAATACCTTGGATAGTTGGTGTCAGCTTTGGTGGTGCCCAGGTGGTCAATGCCATAATGAACAGTGGCCATGGGAGTAATGTTCCAGACAGTATGTGTCTATATGGTCCTTGGTTCCTATGGCCACACATTCTGTAACTATTTCTACAAAACCTTCTGGTTCTTCTAGGAACTTCCCTCTGAAATTCCTCCTCATAGTGCCAGGGAGGAAAGTATTGGTGGTATTGTGCCACTTGGAAGGATGAGCCAACACCTTGCTCCCTTGAGAATCTGTTCCGTTGGTCTATGTCATGGAGTCCAGAGGCTCTAGGTTGAGTTGCCCACTACCAGTATCCCAGGGACCGAAAGAGTTTCTTGAGAGGTGAAGACACTAGGAGTGGTTTAGAATTGCCAGGCCATTCCCCAAGTCACCATGGGCTAAGTGAGTACTCCAAGGGTGTCCCGAGGATTCTTGGCAGCTGAACTATACCAGAGGTATCTCTGTCCCTGTGGTCGTACTGTTGGGAGAATTGTTTCTTCTCTTTTTCCCTGACAAGGAGTAAAAGACAAAGCACAGAATTTGGTACAATTCATTTCAACAAACATTTGTTAAATGTCCACTATGTGCCACGTACCACACCAGGTACTGGAAATTTAGAAACAAAAATGAACACATGACTTGTCTTTAAGGTGCTTTGATGACTCAGGAAGAGAGAGTGAGGTTGACTTTGCACAGCTCTGCCTCATTTAAATCCAATTCATGCACAAGTCAAGATACCACCCCGTGATGTCATTGACCCTCTTCAAAAACGAAAGACTAACAACAATAACAACAAGGAGCTTATTTTCTACTGGACAAAGTATATCAACCTCTATAAATCTCAGTGTCACTAGACTGGGGAGGCCCTCTATGTGCTATTTGGCTCTGGGCAGCCTTTCTCCTAAACCATCACTGAAAACTATCTCTCCCAACCTTCAGAACCCCTAGAGATGGGATTTCACAACCTTTCCTGCCCCATCGCCTACTCCTTAACATTCAGGAATGAGAAATTAATCACAATATCTAACTTCAGTCTCTCCTGATACAAATTTATTCATATAAGGCACATTTAATTGGAGCCAGAAATGATGATTGAGACCACTGTCTAACTTGGAGGTTCTTAACTTTTTTGATGTCATGGACCCCTTTGGCAGTCTGTTGACACTTCTGTCATTCTCTTTCTCATAGTGTTTTGAAATGCATAAAATACATAGGACTATAAAGGAAACCAATTATGTTAAAATACAGTTGTCAAAGTACATGTAAAAATACAACAATTTTATGGCCCCCAGGTTAAGAATCCTTAAGGGCCTCTGCCTTCATTTTACAGATAAAGAAATGGAGGCCCAGTGGTGATTTGTCCAAGTTAATGGGAGAGCTTGGCATAGAACCGGGGTCTCCCAATATCTAGCTCAGTGTTATCTGAATGACATTATATAAATGTCACTCCAGGAGAAACTTAGTTTCTGCAGCCTTCACTATATGCTGATATGCTTTTCCTTGAAGTTCATAATGCATATTTGGTGGTGATATAAATGGACTAGAAATGACTGCATCAGCCTTGCAAAGGATTTTCCAAGTTATTTAAACCTCTGTTCAGTATTAGCAGAGGCGTAACATATATCATCAAGGACATACATGACCCAAAAAGGAAGTAGGCAGGCCATGAAATTCAAGCGTGAGAGACAACTGATGGATGGACAGTCTGAATGCTGCAGTGGTGTCCATGATTTACTATAAGAGCCAGAGAAAGGTCTGCACAAGGCTGTTTCTCAATTCAGTTCAATTCCTCAAAGGAGAGATAAGGGAAAGGCATAGACAAGAATTGCAAAGGATGAGGAAGCATGAATGGGTAGTGTGGTGCAAGACAGAGTGTGCCATTTGGGGGTTCAATCCTGATTCTAATACTTAACTACCTGTCTGACCTTAGGCAAGGTCTAACTTCATGTCCCAGGGCCTCAGTTTCTTCATTTATAAAATAAGGGAGTTGGGCTAGGTGATTTCTAAAGTCTCCTCTGGCTCTTATGATCTATGATTCTGTTATTCTATGCCAGGCTGATCCTTTCCTTCTAGTCTGTAAATTCTGCAAATCCACCCCCCCAGCTGAGAAGGTTGCTTAGCATAATGCCTACTATAGCTCTTTATAGACAAGAATACAAGTGGTTTAATTTCCATGCCTTATCTCCTTCCCATCTCCTGGCCCCCTCCTGTAGCAACATCAAGGAATCTTACCTGAGCCGAAGACACAGTGCCATGTGGAGAGGATGCCAGCCAACAGCAAGAGCAGAGAGATGGGCACTGCCACTAGCAGGATATCTTTGTAGGATTTATCCCCTGACCCTGGGCAAAGGAAGTTCAGGGTCAGAGTCAGAGGTAGTCGATGAGTGCTTGAAGCTGCTGACCCTTCTGTGGGGCCAAATAAAGCACTTTCCCTTCCCTCAACCCTTCTTACAGGTCCTGTCTCCCTCCTATGCCTCTTATCTTCTCTCAGGAGGCTAGGCATCATTCCTGAGGATGGGGATGAAAGAAGGGACTCTGTTTAAAAGTGTATCAGTAGTGTGACCAAGAGCTCATGCAAAGGCCCCGGTGCACTTTGGGGTTTAGAGAGCATCTTCTTCACAACATACCTGTGAGGCAGGGAGTACAAGTATTGTCCCCATTTTGCAGATGAGGAAACTGAGGTCTAGAGAGATCAAGTAGACTCATTGTAGGTGACTCCACTCCCGTCAGAACCAGGACTTGTACTCGGGTTTTCTGACTCTCAGGTCAGTGAATGCTCTTTCCGCTATGTCATGCCAACCCTCAAAAACATGCACATGTTTCTACATGCACAAGTGTGCATTCTGCACTTTAGCACCTGTCCACACTTGATGTTCACACTCCCATAAACCAAAGAGAAAAGTACTAAATTGTCACAAGGCAACTTAATCTAGTGGAGGGAGCCTGGGAAACCTGTTTTTAGGGCTCAGGCCAAGGTTCCCTCTGGGGCCAGTAGCGTGAGGGGCCAGACTCCAGGGCAGAGGTCACCTCCTGCCACATAAACACTCATAGAGAATTCAAAACTGTACAAAATCTCCTCATTCTCAACTCTTAACATCCCTATGTTATGGGGCTCAGGGTGGAAAGAACACTGAATTTGGAGTCAAGTCCTGGAGTTGTCTTGTCAGTAGCTTTGTAATCCTAGATTAGGGGTGGGGAACCTTCAACTTCAAGTGTGGCCCTTTGACTGAATCCAAACTTCACAGAACAAATTCTGCACTTGAGGACCTAGAGGGCCACATGTGGCCTCGAGGCAGCAGGTTCCCCACCCCTGCCCTAGATGAATCACTTCATTTGCTCTCTGCTATGACAGTTTCTGCCATCTGTAAATCAGAATGTTTAGAGAGAACCTCTCCCTCGTTGTATGGATGAGGGACAAACTCTCATGCATTATGGAAATACCAAACTATTATTATACCTAAGGGACCTTTTTAATCTAGGGTTAATTACACCACGGGGGGAAAGCTTTCCTCCCCTCCCCACCCCAATGTTTTTGCCCAGGTGAAGCCAAATTAAAAAGATAATTAAAAACAGGGTTATAAGGGCAAAGAAGTTATAACAGTGAAGCCAGGTGGGGTGGATATAAGAGAAGAAGGGACAGTTTCATCTCTTGGCCTTGGCAAGGTTGGTCAGAATACTTGTGGAAACCTCTTCACAGAGCTCTGGGCTGGTGTGTGTTCTCTCAGGGAGCTGTCCACTGCCTTCTTCTCCCTACTCTTTTCCACCCACTCTCTCCCATTGACTATTGGGGTGAGTAGAGCTGCCACAGCTTGGGGCCCAAAGGATTGGTCTGACCACGTGGCATACCAGTATTCTGGAAGCAACTTTCCCAGGGGGTGACGGCCACGGAATCCCAGCTGACAGGGTTGGACACAATGCAAGAGTAGATGGTTTCCTCATCCCCTGGCCCCAGGGAGATCCTCAGCACTTGACTATCAATGAAAAGACCCTGTTGGGGGTCCCTAAGCTCAGCTGCACCCTCTCGCTGCCAGCTGTAGGTCACCTCGCTGCTATTGGGAACCACACAGGACAGGAAGACTTGGCAGGTCCTGGGTGGCTGGGTACCATCCGTTATAGCAATGAAAACTTGCACTGTGGGTCTGGAAACCGCTTCTGGGAACAGAACACACAACATGGAGCTACGATTACACAGGTCAGTAGTTACACTGGACACAGTCATGTAGAGTGGACTTTGTGATTTCTATTCTGTCTCTCCTTTGCCTAGCTACGCACTACTGAACCTTCCCTGATATACAAGGAAGAAAAAAAAATCATTTATTAAGCACCTACTATGTGCCAATCAGGCGGACCTAGGTTAAAATCCTTCCCTCTCACCCACTGGGGCTCTGTGACCCCAGGCAACTGATTGAACCTCTTGGTGCTCTAGGCAACTCTGTGAAGCTAGGTTGGTGTTGGTTTTCATAGGGTAGAGGTAGTATCCTCATCAGAGAATTCCCTACACCACTGAAATCATGGGTTTATCCTCTCGATGCCCCATTCAAACTTACCTTTATGTGGGCTTTGAGCTCTTCACAACCAACCCCATGAATATGCAGCGAAACATGCAGTTTATAGAATCATAGATTTGGAGCCGGCAGGGGCCTTGGAGGTCATTCAGCCCAACCCCCTCATTTTGGGGAAGAGGTGATTGAAGCCTAAGAAAGTTAAGTGTCTTGCTTGAGGTACTAGGCTTCAGAGGTTGGATTTGAACCCAGGTTCCTCTGACTCCAGAGCCAGGGCCCTTTTCCACTTTAGCCTGCTGCTCTCCATGGTTCAAATATTATTACCTATTGCCATTTCTGATGCTTACTACCTGCAGCAAAGGCAGCTAGATGGCTCAGTGGATATCAGGAAGACCCGAGTTCAGATATGGCCTCAGACAGTAGTTGTGTGACCCTGGGCAAGTCACTTTATCCTGTTTGCCTCAGTTTCCTCATATGCAAAATGAGCCAGAGAAGGAAATGGCAAATCACTTCAGTATTTTTGCCAAGAAAATACCAAATGGGGTCACAAAGCATCGGACACACCTGAAAACAACTAACAAAGCAACATCCGTATCAATGTGGGCAGGTTACTCATTCTTTCTGGGGCTCAGTTTCCTGATCTGTAAGATGGGTCATACTGTGTGGATACTGATGTCCCTTCTGGCTCTGGATCTATGATCTATGACCCTGTGATCTCCATCCTGCAGAGCAGGAAATTGGGGCTCGGAGAAATTAGGTGACTCGTCTGCAGTCACATTCCGACTCCAAACTCAGGCCACCGTCGCAGAATTGTCTACATTAATAGCTGCATGACCCTGTTAGTCAGTCAATTAACACACATTTGTTAAGGGACTACCCTGTGCTAGGCACCGTCCAATTCATTTCCCTTTTCTTCACGTCACCTTCCTCTTCCGTAAAATGGAAATAACTCCACCTATGTAAAAACTATATCAGGGTGATCCAGTGAAAAGACAACATATAGAGATCCTCTTTGAAGATTTATGGGAAAAGGTAAGGATGACCCCCTGTGCCCCCAGTGGAGTGGTAGGGATCTGCTTCAGTGGAGAGAGTATCCGTTGGACGTGGAGTCAGACAGACCCGAGTTCAAGAACATCCTTAGACACTTATTGGCTGAGTGACCCTGGGCAAGTCACTTGATCTCTCTGTGTCCCAGTTTCCTCATATGAGGGGTTTGCCTCTAACATCCCTTCTAGCTCTAAATCTGAGATCCTTTGAAGATATCAAAGAGAGAGAACAAACTGCCTTTAAACACTTCAAGGGCTTAGGAAATGCCCTCTGAAATTCAAACAATTAAGAAGCTAATATTGTTATCTAATCTCTAAGCAGACCCGCTAGGGACTCCACTGGGCAGCCTTGCCTGCTGAGTTCTAGCCACTGCATATTTGAAAGTCATGAAACAAAGATGTATTTGAATATGCCATTCAGATGTCTTTTGTGACCAGTTTTCAGCCTTGTCCTCCCTATCGTTACCCTCCAACCCCAATGATGGAATCTAAATCTGAAAAAGTTTTGTGGCACCATTGATTGTGCATGATTTGTATCTCTT